GGGGGTCGGGGCACAGGCGGCTCCCTGCACCCGCCTCGCACCTCAGCTCACCCAGGACATTGAACTTGGAGAAGAAGGACGGCGACTTGAAGTTGAGCAGCGGCAGGAGCAGCCCTACGAGGTAGAAGGGCACCGTCCGGGACTTGTCCCACCACCTCTCAAACTGCTGCAGGCCCGTGGCGTTGGCGAAGATGGCAGAGCCATTGTCGGGATGGCCGCTGCCAGCGCTCGGGCAGGTCACTGCAACGGGAAGGCGTCGGTCAGGAGAGCGCGGGGAGCAGACAGGACCCCCGGAGGCACACACGGGCCCCAGCCTCAGCCTGCACCCCAACACCCCGTCCCTCCTCTCTGGGAAAGACGGAGGCTGATCCTTAGATACTATAAGCCTCTTACCCAGACACAGTGGAGGGGGAAGAATGTTAGAGAATGTGCAGGCACACCCCTCATTTCTCCTGGGAACTATGGATGCTCCCCCAAGGCCCTTTGACTCCACGGCCAGAGAGCAGATACCGGGACCAAAGGCGTTGGGCGGGGGCATCTGATCGGCTCCAGCATCGGAGCTCGTGTGTGTAATGACCTCAGAGACGCCGCTCAGGGTGGCTGTGCTGCGATCGGCCCATGGCCGAAGGACAGGGAAGTCATCTCTGGTTTTGGAATAAAAAGCGGACATCGCTGAAGTAAGTAGCTGTCACGGTACTGCCAACACCTAATCATTGGTCAGAGCGTAGGAATCCTGAGTTCCAGGAATCCAGAGTCATTCTCCTGGAATTTATCCCACCTCATGGCAGCTGGGAGCCCAGATGTTATCCAGGGAACGGGGAGTGAGCTATTTTCCTAGCGCTGACGACGTGGCAACTTCTGCCCGCGGGTGGGACCCAGCCCACCCTGCCCCGGGTGCAGTGGCTCCCCTGAAGGCCGCTCCGGGAGAACTCAGCCGTGAGACATTCAGGGCGGCGTCCTCAGCGCCACCCGCAGGACGCGCAGGCGGTGCCAGTCCACGCGTGTTCACCGCTGCTCACCATCAGGAAGGGAGTTACTCCACAGGACACAGGCGTGTGCGCCTTAGTACCAGTGACTGAGCACCAAGTGCCTAACGCTGAGTCAGCAAACTGAGAACGTGCCCCGGACCAAACCTGGGCAGGGGTCCAGGAGCGTGAAACACGTGCTGAGTGTTCTCAGGCAACGTGGCCCTGCGCGTCCCTCACCTCACATCAGCACAGCCTGGTGTGGAGCTGGCTTTCTTGCGCTTTTTAAAACACACCGATGGCCAACAATTTGATAGTGGCCCAGTTAACACAGTGGTCATGGTTTTGTGATCATCATTTACCTAAAACGAAGTCATACTTTCTACCTTAAATCTATTTTGAAGCAGAGTGGGGAATAAAAAAACAAGCTAAACGTTAAGTTTCACACTACTTACCAGGGTTGCTATCATTGGTACTCAGTGCGGCATCTGTGTCATTAATGTGATGAATAAAATCTGAAAATTAAGGAAAAACACAGTTCGATAATCCTGAATGAGATGCTAAACTGATCACCGCTAAAGCCTTTTTATCTGTAACGACCTGTTAAGGTCGTCTGGGGGGCAGCACTGCTGACCACGGAACCAGACCCCCTCAGCCACACACAGCGTGGGCGCTCGGCCTCCTCCCATGGGCGAGTCCCTGGCGTCCCTGTCCTGCTGTGACCGAGGTTCTTAAACATCCGCCAGAGGCTGAATCTAGGTAGGAGCCCGGATAAAGATCCTGCGTGCGCCTCCGCCTCTGCTCTCGCTGCCGCATGCAAGCTGGTCACACCTTACAGAAGGGTCTAAAGTCCGCAAAAGGGAAAGTCAACACCAGGGACTTTGATCTGGAAAATCACTTGAAGTTCACACAGCACAGCAGCTGCTCTCACAGACCAGGCCACGTGGTCCTGAGCGCCCACAGCGCCCCGTGCACCCCGAGCCGGCAGGTGAGGACCAGGGGAGGGCCGAGCAGGCCGGGCAGGACCTGAGAGGCTTGCTTGTTCTGCGGGGTGCTAACCTTGTATTACCCAGGAAGCACTAATAAGCCTGTTTGATTAAAGCTTGAGAAAGGAGGTAAAGATGTTAGATCTGATCTCAAGGTCATAAAGTAGGTTAAACACGTGACTGGTTCGCCTCCATCGCACGCGTGTCAGGGCAGAAGGAAAGGAGCTTCGTGCTCTGGGCTTTCACAGCCTCTCCAGGGGTGGCCAGCGACCCGAGATGAGCAGCCGTGGGTCTTCGTGGCGGTCCCGATGCCCACGCCACGCAGGCCAGGAGCCAGGAGCCAGGAAAGCCCTGACAAGCGCCCCGGGCTGCACAGCATCTCCCCACGCCAGCCCAGGAGCCTGTGCACAGCACTGTTCCCTGGCTGAGACCCTAGTGCTCTGAAGACCAGTGACTGGAGTCGCTTCCCCGAGACTACACGTCCAATTCTTTAGTAACAGACCCCTGTGAACTCCACGAGCTGCATCGTACTAAAATCTCCTGGTAGAGATGGAAACAGTGCTTAAAGTAGCTGTTAGAGCTTAATATATTTTATAGTAATTGGAGAATTGGAAGGAACATAATTGATTCAAAAATTAGTTTTTGCCAATGAGCATACACGTTATAGTTGAGATCATAACCACAGAAAACAAGCTGAATCAAGCGTATTTTCTAGAATTACACACGATACCCTTTCTTTACCCCAAGTCCAGAATTTACGGTGGAGACTGAGCCATGACAGGAGTCACTGTCCCGCAGGAACAGAAAGCACGTGCGGCGGCACTTACTGAACACGAACTTCCCCGTGTTGAACAGGAAGTTGGACATGAGCACCCAGTACACGATCATGGCCCCGACAAGCGACACCAGGGAGAACAGCAGGCTGGACCACTGCCCGAAGGCGCCGAAGTAGTGCCTGCAGACGTCGGGGAACTCCCAGGCCGTGGTGTCCACCGACGCTGAGGAGAGAGGAGGATGAAATCAGGTGCCAATCCCATAGGCCACACCCATCATCTGTTCCCCCGGATGAACTCGGAATGTTGAAGAAAAGATGGCGGGCGTTACAGCACCCGACAGCAGATCATAGTAAGAAATAACAGAAATGAGAACACAGAACACACACATAAAAATAAATGTAGGTCAACGGAAGAGGACAGACACCCTGAGGAACAGAGAACGGTGTAGTAACAGAGTGTCACCCATAAAAGCACACGATAAGCCCCGCTAGACAGCATCCTTAGTAAAGGGACAGAGGCATCCTGTTTAGATAATAAGGAGAACAGTTTTCTTGGGTGATACTTTATACCACACGTGCCAATTTAAGCTTCACACAACTGAGTTAAGAACTGAAAATATTAGCCTGGCCGGGGTGACTCAGTGGTCATGGTTCGACTCCTGGTCAGGGCACATGCCTGGGTTGCAGGCTTGATCTCTAGTAGGGGATGTGCAGGAGGCAGCGATCAATGATTCTCTCTCATCACTGATGTTTCTATCCCTCTCTCCCTTTCCTTTCCCCCTTCCTCTCTCTGAAATCAATTTTTTAAAAAACCAACCTTTAAAAAAGGATTTTAAAAATTAAATTACAGGAAAGTTAGAAGACAGTGTAGAAACAGAACATGAATTACATGTTCTACCAACTGAATTACAATGGAAAAGATGGGCAGATATAAACAAACCCACATAATAAAAAAGCCATTCAAACAGTGATGGGAAAAAATTGACAAGAAGTAATAGATGAAGGGCTAATGGCTACATCAGATAAAGAACCTGGCAGAGCTACAAGAGCACCGAGGGACTTGTGGGTAAAGGGCAGGGATATGAATAAGTAATACAATGAAGGGAAAATACACCACTGCTCAGTGAGATAGCAAACAACGGGGTGGTGCTGGCTGCTGACTCACCCTGGCTGAGAGTCAAGTGAATAATGTGAGCCCGCTCAGGGCCGTTACTTTACACAATCCAAGAAGGTGTCGCCCTGGTCCAGGGTGGAGAGGAGGGGAGGAAATGTGCTGGTGTAATTTTTAGAGTTCGCTATACAGGACACATTGCTCACATCTTCACATTTTTCTAGTTACAATTTCTACTTTTAGGAGAGACCAGCATTTAGGCCTTTCGGCCGGGATAGGTCAGAACAAGTCACTGTTAACGGAAGAAGCATCATTGATCTCTAAGTTTAGCTCCTGCAAAGACCTCAGTTTACCAACGTCTCTTCCTTCTAAGGAACTAACTCCAAGTGTGTTCTGCAGAGAACTCGCGGCCTCTCTGACAGCCAAGGGCGGCCCTCAGTCAGCCCAAGGCCAGGAGCAGAGCAGCAAGCTCCAGGCACCAAACAGGAGGCACAGGCTGGCGGCTCCCCCCACAGGACGCGCTACGCCCGCCCACCTGTCCTCACTGGGCTGCACTTACGTATCGTGGCTCGTGAGCGCAGCACCCGGTAGCAGCAGTACAGGGTCAGCAGGCCCATCAGCAGGATGACGCACACCCCGGTCGTGAATCCCGCCTGTGGGAAATAAAATGCGTTAGACCAGTGGTTCTCAACCTTCCGGCCCTTTAAATACAGCTCCTCATGTTGTGACCCAACCATAAAATTACTTTCGTTGCTACTTCATAACTGTAATGTTACTATTGTTATGAATCGTCATGTAAATACCTGATATGCAGGATGGTCTTAGGCGACCCCTGTGAAAGGGTCGTTCGACTGCCAAAGGGGCCGCGACCCACAGGTTGAGAACCGCTGCGTTAGTGCGAACACTCATGCTGCCATGTGACGCTGCCCTAAGTCAGGGGTCCCTCAAACTATGGCCCGCGGGCCACATGCAAATACAAATATTGTATGTTGTCCTGTTTTGTTTTTTTACTTCAAAATAAGATATGTGCAGTGTGCATAGGAATTTGTACATAGTTTTTTTTTTACACTATAGTCCGGCCCTCCAACAGTCTGAGGGACACTGAACTGGCCCCCTGTTTAAAAAGTTTGAGGACCCCTGCCCTAAGTAATTATGATAAAAACCTGATAAACAATGACAATGAAAACTTTCTACTTCGTGTAAAATTAGGTATTATCATCTACTGTCTTTAAAAAAATTGATGTGGATTTATTAAAACCTCTACTGCAAGACTTACCACATAGAAAGAAAAAGAATTCAGGCTAAAATTAGCTGAAAAAGGACATTACCTGCTTTATGCCCCAAGGAATACTGAGTATCGAGGTCCCCATCATGGTGTTCCAGATCATGAAACTGAAAACAGAGCAACAGCAGGGGGAGGAGAGCTGACTCCTCAAACGCCTTCATCAGAGAAAAGCCCTCAGCAGCTCCCGCACGTGCTCAGTGCTACGCGGACAGCAGGGGGAGGGGGCAGCTCCCGCACGCGCTCAGTCCTGTGCGGACAGCAGGCGACTCACATGGTCACGAGGCTGGTGTTCTTCCCGGACCCCTCGGGGCAGCTCTGGAGTTTGTACGCGGAGCCCAGCGGGCTGTACACGTAGCGCTCCTCCGGGGCCGGGACCACGTGGTCCGGGGCAACCTGCGAAAGGGACACAGAAGCTTAGGGCTGGCACAGCCGTGCAGGGCGCCTCCTGCACGTCCGAGCGCACATCCAAGTGTCACGAGCCAACGGCAGAAATCTCCGATCCACACACTCAGCTCTCCTTTAAACACAGTGAACACCTACGGAGCGAGCAGCGAGGACCGGGCACGGAGACCTTCCATCTGCAAGGAGGGGAGTCCCCAGCCCTTCAGTTTAGGGGGGAGGGGGGGCCGGGAGGCTGAGGCCAGGAGGCTCCCGGTGAGCCCTGCCTCCCCTGGGGGAACGTGAAGAAGGAGGGTGACTGGACTCCTAGTGGGGTGTCGGCCCGAGGCGGGAGGGGACGCCCTCCGTTAGGGATGCAGGAGTCGCCAGCAGAGGAGGAATACTGCGGGCAGACCACGCAGACGCTGTGGTGGCTGAAGGACGGGGTAGGCAGAGCAGCTAAGGAAAAGGCCACGCAAGGTTCTTAAGGACGGAGGACGCAGACCACAGGGAGGGCCTGCAGAGGTGAAGGGAGAGGGGAGGATGGACGGGGGCTCTCACCACAGAGCCCACCCCCCAGTCCACGTCCTCCCAATGCCGCCTCCCTCTTTCCGAGGAAAAGTTTCCTGATGGGATTCAGCATGCCCCCCCCCCCCC